AGAGAGAGAGAGAGAGAGAGAGAGAGGAGAAGGCGAAAACACAAAATACACACACCCCACGAAAGACCCCCGTTGCACTTGTAACGAGTCGTCTCCCGGGCTTTCCCTTCCTTTCGTGTCCTTTTCGGTCAAGGGCACAGAGAAAGAAAGTCAAAAAAAAAAAAAAAAAAAGTCATAGCAAGAGCATTCGTACATGGTGGACGTCAGCTCAAGGTTTAGGGATATGTATCGACTTGGAAACCATTGCGCAGCCACTGGCAGCGAAGATCAAGACTGCTGGGTGGAACTCCAACAATCCGGCTCCGACAGTGCCGAGAGGCATGTTGTCCAAGTACCATCCATTGTGCGCCCAGTATGCCATGAGCATAACGATAGAGAGGGTAGTGGGGATCGGGGTGCCCTCAAAGTACTTGGACTTTCCCGTACCATCTTTGGGGAGTGATTGAACCGTCACGTTGAAGCGCGCGAGACGTGAGAGGCCGCAGAGAACGAAGAGAGTGAGGATAATGGTATCCAAGAATGTACGGAAGCCGAGGGCGAAGGCACAAGAAGCCGGGGCCATGCCGAAGGAGATCTAGGAACCAGTTAGTAAAATTACCATACGGCGCTAGCCGGGGCAGGTGGGGGCGCGGTTGACCAAATCTGCGAGGGAATCAAGCTCCTGTCCCATCAAGGAGCTCTTCTTTCTCCAGCGAGCTACTTTCCCATCCATAAAATCAAAGAAGAGTCCGAACGGCATGAAAGTCATGGCGAGCCAAAGTTGGGCGAGGTCGTCAGGGCTGCCAAGACAGTATCGCAGCGATGAAAAGATACTCATGGCTCCGCAGAAACCTGTAGGGAATTGCATATCAGCTCATCGTTCGGCCGTGCTTGGACCATGGGCTTTGAACGGACCGTTTAGCTCGGTGATCAGATCGGCCATATGGAGCGCCCTGTGAGGGGTTTGTCAATTCAGGAAGCGAGATATTCCGTCAAATTTGGCACCCCGTACCTGATCATGGAGAAGTGTCGGTCGTCGTCAGTGAGGGCAACTGCCTTTGCTTGATCCTCTGCAAACAGTCAATCAATGTCAGTCGAGCCCGAACCATATCAAACCATGCAACGCAGGCGCAAGCACGGCCCGCAAGGCAAATGTCGAGGTGGAGAAGGATATACCTGGTGAAACCAATGGCTTCTGCTCATTGGCGGCGGCGCTTCCGTTTCTTCGTGACATTCTTCGTGCCCTTCGAGAGGGTAGGTAGACCTGTGTGCTAAGGGAAGATGGAAACTCAAACTCCGTGTCCCGGCTCGGTATGCAAAAACCGGGGAGGTTTCCTGGTCGGGAAAAAAAATCAAGGCAGGGCCCGAGCTCGATAGGGGAGAAGGAAAAGAGATTCTAAAACGACGAAAGAGCCGTTAACAAGATGCAAAAGCCTGGGCTCCGGAGGGGGTGCGGTGGTGTTGAGGACTTGAAGTTGAGGCTGCGGTTTTTCTCAGTTCCTTGGGAGCGGAGGCTGGGATCATGCCTATGCCAAGAAACGCAAGGGTGGAGATAGGGTGGTGAGAGCTTGTCAACGACGTCGTCAAACCGTGACGTGCACCAAGGGGCGGAAAATCTGTGGGGGAGAGAAAATAGGGGAGACGCAGAGCATCGACAATCATCACAGTGGGGAACATTTAACTCATTCAGGGGGATATGGAAGAAAGAAGGAAGAATCACCGTCGCGATACTTTTTCCCTACTTTCGGATATGATATCATGCCTGTACTTTATCGGTAGTACATCTGAGATTTAGTTTTTTTTCTCGTCAGGTACAAGTACCGTACGGTAAGGTGGCCATCATCAGGAATCAGACAGGTCTCGATTCTTGTTCCTCAATCACAGCTTCTCACCAGTGAATTGTCCCGCAGTCGACCCACTTTTGAGTGAAAGGAGATGTGCCTCCAATGGATTCGCCTGAGAATTTGGGATCGCCTTTCGCAGGTGGAGGCTAGGAGAGTCGGCTGTGAGTTCCACACCTTGGTCGTACCATATCCAGTTTTTTTCTTTTTTCTTTTCTGCGTGGGACCCAGGATGCGGCTTGGGTGTGATGCCGGTATCGTGCCTGTGGGCTCCCGCTACAGTACGGTAGGGCATGGAGAACGATGCCAAGCTCATCATGGTGCCGATGCATCTCTCACGTTTACGGTATGTACAAGTATCCTTCTCCCCTACAACACTCTTACCGGTACCCCTACCAAGGCTACCATATCCTCTGCGGTGATTGATTCGTTTCCTCATGTGTGAGAAATCAAGCGGGTGGCCACCGATTTGGGCGGCGGGTATTCGAACACGGCATTGAGGGAATTTCGGATAGATGGAGCGGGAGGAGAGGGCCCTGGACGAAGGGGGGGGGAGGGGGCCACTCTCCTTCGAGGCTCGATGCTGCGCTCGCAACATGGGATGGAAATAGAGGTACGAGTACAGTACGAGCAGGGCGTCATGGACTATCATACGGTATCGTTACCGGTAAAGTACTCGTACTCGTACAGTACCAATCCGGTATGCTACGGCATTTGTATGATAATATTATTATGATAATAATATTATATCGGTGCAGATCTTGGATTCCACTCGTACAGGGTCTCCCTGACAACGGGCCACCTGATCTCCACATCCGGCTGAATGGTATCGTGCACGGGCCATGAACCCCCCCCAACCTAAAGTGACTTTGGGTGACGTAGACGACGAGAATGCGGCGGGAGGGTGTGCCAGGACCGATCATGCCGTAGGGTGAGCTGTGATATGATATACACCCACCACGCGCGTATACCTGTACCCTTTTTTTCACTCTTGTCCTGCATTTGCCCTTCCCATTTCTGCTCTTGTTGCTCGAGGGAGCTCTTTCCATTGTGAGAATCCCATCATGTCATACCCCCGTGACTCTAGCATTGCCCGGCCCCCGCTTGGCTTGACCTACCGGTACCCTATTACGAGTACTGTGCAGTGCAGTACTGCACTGCACTGCACATTGCATACCTGCATCATATAATGCTACCCTATCCTATCGTATTCCGGTGCCGTTCAAGTTTGCATCGTGCCCTTGTTGGGGAGTAGTCTATCTACACTTCTCCCCATGCAAGAACCGTTTATACCGGCTATCCTAAGAATGGACGGGATCGTGGGCCTTTCCCATCATCTGCGCGGTGGCCTACAGCACAGTGCTCGAGTCCTTGTACCGTGCTCAAGTAGGGAATAGGTGTGGGCCCTCCGGTTTCACAGTACCGGTATTACCGTAGTCTACCCGCGCCGATGGTGAGGATTCAAAGGTTCATAAAGGGGAGGAGGGAAAGAGAAAGAAAAAGAAAAAAAAAAAGACATCCACCGGTACCGGTATTCCTGCATCCATTCCCTGTTTTCCTTTGATACTCTACCAAAGTTGCGGGATCGTCCAAAGCTCTTTCTTTTTTCCTTTCCCCGCCCCTCTTGGTCTCACGAACCCCCCCCCCCCCCGTTGCTGGCTGCAGCTTGGATCTTTAATTGCCCATACCCCCCCACCGTGCCCTTCCAATCTTCCCTTCCTCCTTCCCTCCTTCCCTCCTTCCCTCCTTCCCTCCTTCCCCTTTCCCTGCGTTGTCCATCTTCTTCGGGACCCGCACGCAGACCTCTATCCTTTATAACACTCATAGTCACATCTTCTCTATCGTCATCACCATTCCCTCCTGCCCAACCCCGACTGACGTGGATCACCACCGGGAATTATCAACGAAATGTCTTCCCCAACCTCTGCCAACCCGGCAGAGGTGCCCCGCGATGCTGTCGGCGGTCCGCAGAGAGAAGCGAGGTTTACTGAGGATATCCAGGGTCAGCATGGTTCTTATCAGCCCGAGATTGGGGAAGCCGAGGCCCCTGCACGTCATTCTGCACTGAGAAAGAAGGATTCCGTGAGTCGAAAATTTTCTGTTGAGCCCACTTGTTCCAAAGAGTCGGGAATGAACTGTGCTCACAATTCAGGGGGACAGATGGAGAGCCCGAATTCCATCTTTTACAGTCCGATCCCGACCCATGGGAATCCCACCGAGGTTTTGGCTGATAGATTCGCGGGTACGTATACCTCTTTGCCCCCCCCCCCCCTGTTTCTGGTTGGTAAGTTTGTGGGCCAATTTCACCATCTGACCATCTGGGCGTCCAGCTTGGAGAAGGGTCTTGAAGGACTTCATCACCTACTTCCGCGAGGTCCAGACATCGTACGAGAACCGTGCCAAGGGGATCAACAGGATTGGCCAGACCTTGAACGCTGCCGTGCACCCACCAGAGTTTGCACGTTCCGGAGGTATCCTGGAAACGACTAACGTGCTTCGCGAGTTCCAAAGGGAGTCGTATGTTTATGCGGAGGATGCCGCTAGGGTCCAAGCTCGGATCGTCAATGACCTGACGGCATTGAGGAGGGATCTCGGTGACAAGATAAAGGAGATCAAGGGCTTGTCTGGCGATTTTAAGAGTTCGGTTGAGAGGGAGAAGGAGGCTACTCGCAAGGAGATTGTTAAGCTCACCGATGCGCTCACAGCGATTGATTCCAATCCCCAGGGTGCTGCCGGGAAGTGTGACCCTTATCTTATCAGGCTAGGTTTGGAGAAGCAGCTGAAGCGTCAGATCGATGAGGAGAATTATCTTCACAAGGTTAGTTGCCGCTTTGTGCATGTATTGCTATTTGTGTCCCCTGTCTGATTGCCCTAGGCGTATCGCAATATTGAGAATAGCGGGCGCGAATTGGAGAGTATTGTGGTTGCAGAAGTCCACAGAGCCTTTGATATGTATATCAAGGTCATCAGGCGGGAGGGTGAGGGATTCCTGGATCTTGCGCAGAGGCTTGACACCACTACAATAAAGGCTCCTAGAGATTACGAGTGGTGGTCCTTTATCGAGCGTGATCCGAACATGGTCCACCCTTCTGTGCCTCTTAGGTCTGTTCAGGATATTGAGTACCCCGGATATAGGCATCCGGCTGCCACAGAGCTGCTTGCCGGCTTGATGGAAAGGAAATCAAAGTACCTCAAGTCTTACACTCCTGGATGGTATTTTCCCGGCGCTGCTCTTGTTTGTTTACACTTTCACCCTGCTAAAATATCCTAGGTATGTGTTGTCGCCAACACATTTGCATGAATTGTGAGTTTTGAAGGAAACATTTTACCCTGTGCCACGAGCTGACCTTCTTTTAGCAAAACTTCGGAGCGAGCCACTGATTCTGCCCCCGTGATGTCACTGTACCTCCTAGAGTCTTCGCTCGGCAAGCATTCGGAGCCGGGTGCAGACTCGCAAAAGTTCATACTGAGGGCTCGCCAGACCGGTGTTCTTCATAGGTAATTCCGGTTGTGCGCTGTTTTCTCTCCACTTCTAATTGCATTTATAGGGACCATAGCTGGGTATTTAGGGCGGGGTCTTATGAGGTGATGTTTCAGTGGTATGAGAATATCAAGAAGCTCACTGAAGTTTCTGACGAGGAGCGCAATGATTATGTTGCTGGGGCTGTTCATCGCCGGACAGAGTCAACGACCGAGGAACCTGAGGCCGAAGCTGTAGCTGATGACTGGGAGAATGATGAGGCAGACCAAGTTCCTTATTCAGCGGAAGCAAGTGCTCTTGGGGATGGTCCCCTTGAGCCACCGAAACCCGTTCGGCCTGAAGGAGGAAGATTCCCAAGCGATATCAATGTTAATCGTGGCCTCGCGGGGACTGAGGGAGCAACTGCTGAGGGAGACTCTAGTGGGTCGTTAATAGCGGCTGCTGGGGCTATTTCAGGAGGTGGCTGCGGTCGCCCGGAAGAGGGCTATATAGGACCTGCTGGGCAGAGACCGCGAAGTGACAGTCATTCTTCTACCTGGTCATATGATGACAAGGTAAGAAGCTACCTGCTTTACTCGATTGCCCGAAATATTTACTCACCAATGAGGAAAAAAAGCACCCTGCCCATTCGACTCTGGATGATGATGATGATTTCCTCCCAGTTGGAGCCGATGTGCCCCCCGCGGTGGAGAGACGCATGTCTGTCAAACATGACTATTCCCGTGAGCATGAGCCCCGTGATAGTGGTGCTTCGGCCCGCAAGGGCCCTCCATCCCGCAAGCCTACCGCGAGCTACGGGTGCGACCCCGTAACCGGCCAGCCGGATACCGGGATGGGTTCACCTTCGCAACAACTCGCGAACATCGATTGGGCGCACATACTCGCGGTCTCTGAAAGCAAGCATGCTGCCCCCGACGCTGCCTCGCCGACGCTCTCGAGAAAAACCCCCTCCCGAAAGCCCACAGCCAGCTATGGCATTGATCCCGTCACGGGGCACCCAGAGCATGGTCACCATCATCATCTTGATGACTCGCACCATCCTTATCCTATATCTGAGAATCAGCCCATTAGGACAGAGGTCAGTTCTTCCGTTAAAGATCCTGGCAGTCAACTCACTACTGAGAGGCCGGGAACCATTAGAACTGAATCGAAGACCACGATCAGCGATCTCCACGTCCCCGGCGAGTATCCCAAGCCTAGTTAGGTTTTGCGCCCAACTTGGCAACTCTTTTTTTCTTTTTCTTTTCCTTTTGCTCAACATTTGGTTCTCTCATGTCACACCAGATTCCTGTCCCTGTTCTTGTTTTCCCATGTAACCAAAATTCATGAGGCGGTCTACGCTGTCTCACGTGGCATGCCATTGATTGGGGTGAAGTGGCGGCACTGGTAAACTGTTTTGGGCTTTCGTCTGATTGTTCACTTTGGCTTCCCCAAGCCATACCTCGAATTATTATTGATTTCTAATATAAACGAGTGATATACTATGACTAATGAACCACAAGCCGTATCCTCCATCCTATCCCTATCCAGAAGCGACCGTGGATCCAAGCAATAATATCACAACCCGTCCCGAATAAATAGATATCATGAAAAACCCTTGACAGAGGAAATCTGCTGATGGATATCCATTTCCATCCCATCCGTCGGGGGACTGTGGGGGTCCGCCAACGCCTATTCACTTCCGAACTGGCTTCTCAAATTGTCATACTTGCTTCCGGGGTACGTAAGAATGTTATGGGTGGTCTCCAGTGACCCCGTGCCACCGAGCGAGTCCACGGTAGTCTTAATCAGAGATCTCGGGTCCCCAATCGGCTTATCGGAGCTCAGTTCCCACCACATGCCACCGCCCAAGCCCTTCGCCAGGATATACGAGCTCTTGAACTGCGCAACAATGGGGGTATCGTAGGAAACCATCTCCCGGGCGGCAGGGTCATAGCTCCACGAGGAAACGGTACTGCTATCAGCGTTCTCGTTAGCACCGACTTTCGGCAGCGCCTTGTAATCCCATACGCCATTCTCCCAGCTCCCGCCGCCGATGCCGGTGAAGCAGGTTCCGGGCCCGGCAGTGGCCTGGAAGGAGCGGCCGTAGAGGGGCATGCCGAGGATTATCTTGTTGCACGGGACACCCCCAGCAATGTAGGCGTTCACGGCGTCGTTGGCGTTGAAGGGCGTGCTTGCCGGGTTGGCAGCTGAGGGGTAGAGATTTGCTTGGTGGCCGGCGTTGGAATCCCAGCTTCCGGCGAAGTCGTAGGCCATTAGGTTCCAAAAGTCGAGGTATTGGTTCATTTGGCCGATTGGGAGTTTGGTATAGTGGGTTGCTGGGAGGGCACCACAGTCAGACTGGGGGGATTACTTGTAGGGGGGAAGGTGGGTATGTACCGCCGCAAGGAGCAGCAATAGTCAAAAGCAGCCTCTGGCCCGGTGCGTACTGGTTCCCATAAGCGTCGAGTTGTGCACGGCACTCTGCCAATAGAGAAACAAAGTTCTGAGCCTGAGTGGCATCTAAAATATCGAGATATTAGCTTGGTCCTCGCCAGTATCAAGATATCCCAATCTTGTCGTACCAGCCGGGTATTCCCTGTCCAACCGGGTTAACACATGCCTCATATAAAACATCAGGCGAAAGGGTATACCAATCAATATCGATACCATCAAATCCCAAATCCCTAACGAGCTGAACAGCGGTCCTGGCGAATGTAGATCTGCCGGCGGCCGTAGCTGCTGCAGGCGCAAAGTTGGCAGAGTAGGTCCATCCTCCGATGGATAGGAGGGTCTTGAGCTTGCGGTTGCACTTCTTCAGGAGGAAGAGCTGCTTGATGCAGCCGTAGACGTTAGTGCCAACGTCATTCCAGGAGTCGGTGGGGTAGTGCTTTTCTGTTTGATTGTTAGCTTTCTGTCTGTCTGTCTGTCTGGATATGGGTGGTTTGTTAGCTGTTTACCAAGATCGGAGTACGTGTCGCTCAGGTAACTGTGGGAGTGCTTGGTCAGATCGGAATGTCCGGCGTATAGGGATGCTGGAGGAGACGAGGGCTTACACTTCACCGGATTCAGGGCGGACATTGGCGAAGGAGTCTGGTGCAGCATTAGCTTATCTGTCATGTGCCCAGCTACGCCGTATTGCAGAGTTTCCGGCAGGGTGCGCTGTTCGCTGGCTTACACAAGATGTGTGTTAAATGAGAAGCTGGGATGTCCTGGGGTTGGTAATTGCGGCCGTAGATGCCCTATTTGCGATACTGGGGAATCAACAATAAAGCTCACTGCATCGGAATAACAGCAATCGTAATTTAAAATCACTAACCCAGTTGACAAAGTAGGCAACCGTCTTCTTTCCGGTCATTGTAGCGTTGAAGCTTTCTGTACGGGTTGATGTAGAGCGGTCGAGGAATGACGGTATGTCGTTAAACGCGGGGCGCAGGGGTTCGCGAATTCTAGGAACTAGTAAGGCTAATGCGGCGAGAAGGGCTGAGACGATGAGGATTCGGGTCGTGGTGAATCGAAAGCAGGTCATGACGGGGAGGGCCTCTGGGGCGGTATTTGTACCTGTAAACTTGAGGTCACTTCTTTTTTACCTTTCACCGGGATGCGTGATGCTAATTTTGTAGGGCACGGCGGACGATGATGTTCTGCTTGGTTTCCTGGCCATTAGGTGCCATTACACTTCATTTCTGCTGTGCACTGCGCCTCTGGAATTCACGTGGCGCAGCCAGTGGCGGGGATAGATGATCTGTTGTTTTGATTGGGATTGGTAGGATGGCCAGCTTATCCACCCACCCAGATGGCCGTTGTGCTCATATACCGGTATAATCACCATAGTGGCAGAGCTCTCTGTTCGTCTCAACATCATTTATTTGTAAACACTAGACTCCACCCTAAGGGTATATGCGCCTAAACAGCATTGCGTCCCAGTGGCAAGCCAACACCACCCCAAACCAAACAAATAAATAAAAAATAAAAACACTACCAGGCCCCTCAGGCCCCCCGCACCCCTCCATCCAAACATAAATCCAAAAATCACAACCATGAGTCTCACGGGCGCTCACGATGATCAACACCGTCCCGGATTATCGCGTCTTACTCACTCGCAGCTCCTCCTCCAAAATCACACCCTCTTCTCGCAGTACAAATTGATCCACCCAAATCAAAAACGCCCGCTCCAAATTGGCCCAGCATTCTTTATAACCCCTCAGGTGTTGTCCCATATCCCTCTTCCACTCGGACCCACACCATTCGCACACCGTCCCCAGCCTCTCGTGCCTGCTCGCCCACCAAAGCACCAGCCGGGTCCGTGCAGCCACATCCATCCCATCCCACGAACTCACGACACCATCCCAAAATTGGTAGTGCCAGCCCATCCTACAGCTCGGCGATACTCTGAAGTGTGCCCGCACAGGCTCAAACTTAGCCATGAAGTCGGAACCGCAGACCGCACAGTTCGTGTAATCGTCATGCAGCAGAAAGGGGAAGGAAACAGTCCCCCTTCCCGACACAGGTCTCAGGCATCTCCTGCCGGGGTTAGGTATCCGGTGCTCAGAAAGGCACCACCCGCACTGGCGGTAATCGACCACCTTCTGTCCCCCAGGGCCAAACATGTAGCCTGAGAATGGATTCCCGGCCACAATACGCACATCACCCACCTGAACGTGTCCAGGCGGGATCCCCAATCCCAAGTATTCGTGTCGGAGCCACCACTCCTTCCACCTCGGAATATCCTTATCGTTGAACAACGTCGATCGCGCAGGCCGTCCTGCCACGGTAACCCAGCAGTCCGTCAAATGGAACCGCTCATCACCAGTCGCGCAATCATCGTGTCCAACCACACCTGCACCGGAACGGATCCGGACGAGGACGTACATGTCCATTCTGGACAGACCTCTCAGGTGCCGGGGTTTGCGGGGGGTCCTCTCATAGTAGGTATGCCCCTGGTCCGTGAACCATTCACCCCATTCACGTGCTCGGATATCCCGAGCCAACATATCATTCCGAATGCCCATTACGATGCCTTGCCATCTCCATTCCTGAAGAGGGAGAGCGACACTCGTCTTAG